GTTTGATCATTTATTTATTTACATTTTTACCTGTTCATTTGTTTATGTACTTATTGATCGTTCATTGAATTATTAGCTCAATTAATATTTTAAGACGTAGGTTAAAATTGTTTCATTTGGAAATGTGAAAATTATGTCAAAATCTAGTAGCATCAATGCCAGATCGAGCATTGAAAAAAACGAGACTTGTTCCCGCAAGGAAAATTAACACAAGCCGGAGCTGGGCCAGGAATCATCGTCCCAAGCTGTCATCGTAGAGTCCTTTCATTCTTTCTTATAAGTTACTATAAATAAACATGGACAGTCTCTTCTTACTCCATGAACGTTCTCCTCCTTGCTTCCGAAAAGACTAACGAAACTAGTTGAGTGGCACCTTTACAGAATAAAAAAAAGATTCATCAATTTTTCCTTAGTAAACAAATTTAAATAAACTGAATTACAGTCTGATAAGAGCCACGCACTGTTCATCGGCTCAACGGTCGCTCCTCGGTCCTAATTCATGATCTGTTGATTCTCCGTCGCCTTCAAAGTAGACAAGAACGAATCGAAATTGTACTCGTCGTCGTACTGCTGCTGTTCCCATAGTTCGGGCAGCATGTCCAGTACCGACCTGTTGAACCCAGGCACGAGGTTCACTTTCCTGTCCTCCTCTTTCCTCTTCTCTTTGTTATTCTCCAAGGAAAATAAATCTAACAACTGATCGGTGGCCATCGTCTCCAGTGAGGCGTTGTCGGTCGAAATGACGGTGTTTGCGGTGAGCAATTTGAATTTCTGCAGTCCCATGATCTTCTCTTCGACCGTGGACCTCGTGATCAATCTATAAACGTTGACAACTTTCTTCTGGCCGATCCTGTGCGCCCTGTCCATCGCTTGGAGGTCCTTCATGGGATTCCAGTCGTGCTCGACGAAGATCACGGTGTCGGCACCGGTCAAGTTCAATCCCAATCCGCCAACCTGAGTCGTGAGCAATAGAACATCGATCGAAGGATCCGCGTTGAATCTGGCGACCACTGAATGCCTCTGAGTCGCCGGAATGCCCCCGTCGAGCCTCAGATAAGTGACCGTTGGTAGGTGAACGCGTAACAGATCTTTCTCCACGATGTCCAACATCGCCTTCAGTTGACAGAAGATCAGAGCTCGGTGGGGGCTCACCAGCTGTTGCTGTTGCGTGGAAGAGATGTCGGCGGTTGTCGAGTTTCTCGGTTGATGCGGCTGCTGTTGCTGGGGCTGACCGATGCCGCAATCAAGGAGGAGCTGCTTCAGGGCTGGCAGCTTAGCGCCGTGCTCGATCTCGCCTAGGGTGCTCTTCTGTTGTTTCAGATTGACGCAGATCTGTGGAAAAACGAGAGATTTCATTTCAATCGATACTCGTTTTCTGAATTATTATTAACGAACTAGGAAAGATAAGTTAATGAAACTTTAGAGACACTTAGACAGAACCTTCCTGAAGGTTTCTGCCAAAGGGCCTAGCTGGATAAGGGGGTCAAATGTGCCCTTGAGCCGAATGAAGCGCCGTTTGCGCCATTCGATAGCTTATCAAAAAAGAAACATTCGCTCCAATTTTTAGCCCTATATCTCGACCAGGGGGGTAGTAAAAGGGAAAATTCGAAAAAACAGTTTTTTTAGGTTTTTCCTTATTTAACGCCTCGCGAAAAATCTGAGAAAATTCTGACATGTTCGTAGTGTAAGTGGACATGTCCGAGAATTTTTTCAGATTTTTCCCTTGCAAAATGTAGCCGTGAAAAATAAAAAAGTGGTTTTTGTTTGTTTTACGTGGAGAAATCTTCAGAAGATTTGGTATTTGCAGTCAATAATAGACAATGACCATGACGCGGAAAAAACCAGGGAATACGGTCAATTGTCCTTTTTTCTCACCCTCGATCTGGTGTTAAGTATACCGAGGAGATTATACTTTCTCCTCGATGTTAAGGATTAAGTCATAAACAGAAATAAATCGGAGAACATAGTTGTTTCCCTTCCTCGATCTGTTGTTAAGGATACCGAGTTTATAGTTCCTTCTCGATGTTAAGGATTAAGTCATAAACAGAAATAAATCGGAGAACATAGTTGTTTCCCTTCCTCGATCTGTTGTTAAGTATACCGAGGAGATTACAGTTCCTTCTCGATGTTAAGGATTAAGTCATAAACAGAAATAAATCGGAGAACATAGTTGTTTCCCTTCCTCGATCTGTTGTTAAGTATACCGAGGAGATTACAGTTCCTTCTCGATGTTAAGGATTAAGT